GCTACTCCGGTAAGTTCTGTTGAACCGTAGCAAAGAAAACATCATTCAAATTCCGAAATGAAGAATCTCTAAATTTCTGAATTTCTGAATTTCCAAAATTTCTGAACTTTTGAATTTCCGAAATTAAGAATCGCTAAATTTCTGAGTCTCCAAAAATTCTGAATTTCTGATTTTCCTAAATTTCTGAATTTTTGATATTGAGAATTGTTAAATTTTTTAATTTCTAATTTTCTTAGTTCCTAAGTTTCTGAATTTCCGAATTTCTAAAATCAAGAATTCCTGAATTTCCGGAATAAAGAGTCGCTAAATTTCTGAACTTCCGAAAACTCTGAATTTCCAAATTCGTGCACCACTTTAAAACGACAAAATAAACAAGAAAACAATGTCAGCAATGACAAAATACTGAAAACAAGTCGCAAACAACAGAAATTTCTCGAAAAAAAAATTCTCGTAAAAAAATTTTCGAGGATTTTCTCGAGAAATTTTTTAAAAATAACTTTTTTCGAGAAATTTTCGTCGTAATTTCCTTGAAATTTTCTTGCTAAAGGCATTTCTTGAGACATTTTTTGTTCGAAAAGACACACTGGTTCTAACAGAGAAGAAAACCTGAAAACTGGAATTATTGAAGACGAACTGATTAAAATCAATGAATTCATATAAAAATTTTCAAAAATGCATAGAATTATTCGAGAAAATAACAAGACTTTCGAGATTTGGAAAGAATTAACAAATGTCCGCGAAATCCTTGGAAGATGTGATACAATGACGGGGAGATGAGCTCTTCAAGGAAAGCAGCGTTTGACCGATCTGAAATTTATAGGGCTGCTTCATTTTAATAATCTATTTCAAGTATCCCTATTTTTCCTTCAAGTTTCTGGAATCCTAGTTTACACATATCGGCTCAGAGGCTAGCTAAATTCAAAATGCCAAAACCCATTCCACTTACCTCTCTGACTCGTGATTCTTGATTCAGCATGCTTCGAAGAACAGCTTGAAGATCGTAGACTGCTCCGATTCCTGAAATATCGACAGATTAATGGAGTACGTAATTAGACAAATACCTTTTTCATTTTCGCTTATTTCTTCGCGTCAGATGGTGGGAAGTAGTTGTTGACGACTGGCTGGAAAATATATAAAGTTATAGTTTGCCCGTGTTATATCGTACTACCGTAATACGCACTGGACGACGACAGTCGGATTCTGGAGCCATTAGACGTCGTACTGGTCGTGGTGGAGAAATTGGCTGACTGAGAAGTCTAGCGAGCCGTGAAAATAAATAATTCAGATAAACAATGACGTAGTTTTCAGTTCACTTTCCGTCGTTTTGACCGTTTCCAGGAGTCTGGAGCTCGACTGTCAAGTTTTCGATCACTTTGAAAATTTTGAAGGGTGTAAAACAGACCTGGATTGAAAAATTTGCATTCACAAAATTTTTCGAAAATTCCTAGTTTTTCAGCAATTTGCCGATTTCTGGTCATTTTTGTACTATTTTTGTAATTTTGTACTTATGTTAGGCCGGGTTTGTACTGAAAACGTGAAAAAATGTGTCTTTCAGAAATCGGCATATAGCTGGAAAAGTAAGATCTTTCAAAAAATACTGTGAATGCAAGCTTTGTATCTAGGCATATTTTACAGCCTCCAAAATTTCGAAAGTGACTGGAAACCTGACAGTCGCGCTCCAGATCCCTTAAATTGGTCATAAAGGTCAGAAAAACAATTGCAATAACAGGTTTTTGTTTATCTTATTGACCGATTCAGTCAGTTGCTAGATGAGCCTTTCTGAGCTTTTACAGTACTCTCCAATTCGCTGATTTTTCCATCTAAACACATAATATATTTTGACTTTTTTAAAGTTCTTTTTTGAGTGGAGCATTGCTAAATCGATCGCAAAAATGATTTTAATCTATTTCTGTACGTTTAAGTCGATCTAAAGCAATA